GACGCATCATCTGGGTCGCTAGGTCATCAACGACATCTCAAGGTGGGCTGGTTAACGTCCAGGAAAATGTCCCCAAGGGAAGTTGCATTTAAACTACCAGACGAAAGAAAATAGTATGTTTCCCACCGGTTTCCTTGAGAACCTCCTCTGCCGGTCTCAGCTGGAGCCCAGTCTGAATGCCCAGCTGGGAGCCTTAGAAGCAGAGATGACGACGGGCTCCATACCGCCAACCACTCTGGGCCTTAGGGTAGGAGAGAGGCCGCAGGAGCTCCTCAGTGTCAAGCAGAAAGGGAGGACGACGGTCTCCGGGAAATGTCCGAGCCTAAGCCACCTGGAGCGCGGCCCGGGGAACTCCAATCTCAGCGCTGGGCTGAGTCCCGGGACTGGACGGGAGGAGATCCGATGGCCCCCAGTGAGGCCGGCGAGGAGCCCAGTAGCCATCGCCCCGGAGGTACCAGACCAAGATGCGCGAGTAGCAATACGACACTGGGATCAAAGCAGCTGGGGCATGACTCTGGGAAGGCGGTCCAGAGGGGAAGGGAAAGTTCCACCGTCCTTTCTCCATTCTTTTCTCCATTCCTTCCTCCATTCCACCCTTGAGTGTCAGAGCCGAGGGCGCCGGGACAGCCCAAGAGCATCCCCTGTTTCGACCCGAAGCTCTTACCCATATCCTGCTCCCTCGCTGTCTGCCCTTTCACCCGTGCTTAAAACAACCTAAGTGGACTCTAAAGCCGGCAGACCCTGGGCCCTGGGGGCTTCCCCTGCATGCAGGGTGCTGGCTGCGTGGTGAAATGTGCCTCCTTTCAAACTAGACAACTGCCTACGCACAATGTGGCTTCCCGAGTCTGCGAGGAACATAGCTCCGGCTTCGACCACCAGGACCCGAGGTGGCCAGGCCTGCAGGTGGGGCAAGAACTCCGGGTTCCAGCAGGAGCGAGGGGCCCGGCGCTCTCCCCTGTGTACCCACAACCTCCACACACTTATGTCGACATCCCTCAGGCCCTATCCTGAGTCCCTAAACCCCGACAGACAACTCAGATTCAAACCCCGGAGGTGAGAAGGTGGGACAAGTGGTGGCTGCGGAGTCAAATACTAACTTTCTCCGCACCCCGTTGGAAGGAGGAAGTCAGTGCCCAGGTGGACAGCAGCTGTCAGGCGAGCTCTCCAGAAGTGGAGGATGGGAAGGTGGTGGTTCAGGTCAAAGATGAGGAGGGTTCACACCAGACAGTGTGGATCCTGGCACAAAACCTCTCCCGCCAGTCCTCACGCCAACCAGCGAAGCTCTGCTCCCTTAGCTCGGGAAAAGGGCTCTGCCAAAGGAAACGGGAAGTGAGGCCTGCCAAAGGAGGAGGAGAAAATTAATTAATGAGGGAAAGAAATGTGTCTCTGATCCAGATGATAGACTCCCTGTCCCTGGGGGCGGAAATTCCTTGGAAATCAATAGCTGTGCATTCATTATCCTTCTCTTGATAAAATGCAAAGCTATGAGATGAGGAGGAGGAGGGGATCTGTGTTGGTCATTAAATAAGAAGGAAAAAAAAAATTGCCCAGAAATCTATGCCAAGACTCAGACCCCATGTGGGTATCATTAGCACAGGCAGGGGCCAACGAGTTACAGCAGTTGCCAAACCAGGAAAACAAAACAGTGACATATGGGTGAGCTGAGCCCAAGCCCACCACCCTTTCCTTTTATGCACCAGGAGGAAAGTAGGGAGAGGCTTGATATAGTCCAGGGAACTGCCTGCAGATGTGCCGGCATGCCCCATTCTTTAGCCTGGGGCTGAGAACCAACAAGGATGAGGCGTGATAACTGTCCAAGGATCATCTGCCCCATATTTCTATGCACGTCCCTCTCATCACACCTGTTATAACTGTGTCATAGATGCCTTTTATTCGTGGTTGCCCCACGCACATACACTGTCACTTCCTGTAGGGCAGGTACTCATATTGTATACCTTATTTTATCTCCAGTGTCTTGTACTGGGCCAGACTACTGCTCAGCAGGCATTTGAGGAAGGAAGATAAGGTAGCAAGTTAATGAGGGAGGAGTGAAATAATTGGCTCCTGAAAAAGAACAGGCTGGAATCAAAATTTACAGCTCTGCCTGGGGAAAACACACCCCTCCTTTTTAAGGAGAATGTAGACCACCCTCCCCCAAGCATCTTCCTGCAATCTCCAACCAGCCCTGGATTGTTGAACAGCCCCTAGGCCACCATCTCTTCCCCAGACTACCTGAAACTGGCCTCTCTTCCTTCCTACACACATGCGTTGTTTGGTGGGGTACTTTTCCTGTGACAAACCCCGCACTAAGTGACATAGTGAAGTTGGATGTGTCCTAGATGGGCTTCCTATCCATGGTGGCAGGGGGAGGAAGGATTGTACCCATCGCCCTCATATTTCTGGTCCCATCAAAACACCCAATATCCCGAGCAAAGATCTGTCCTCACCCCAAGGTGGGGTATTCCTGTTGTCAAAAGAGAGGTAAACAGGGAAGGAAATCTTGGTGGGACCAACTCCTAACTTCAGGCTAGACTGGCATCTCTCCGCTGGGTTTATTGGAAGTCTCCCAGGGTTGGAGGGTTTATTGGAAGCCTCCCAGGGTTGCAGGGTGAACCGAGGTGCCTTTTGGGTACTCAGGAGCTCACTGCGCTCTCAGAGGCCCCACCCAGCCACAAACCTGTACTTGTCTTTCTGTCGCCCCTGTGCCCTTCAGGGTCCCTAAAGACCAGCGCTTCCTTGAGAGGGGAGGAGCAGGCTCCAGGCCCTCACCCTGTGTGGGGGTCTTTTCTTTCCTCACAAAAGAGAGTGCAGGGAACTGCCACCAGGGGTGTCAGGAAGGATTAGGTTAAGCCCGGACTGCCGGTGTGATGACTGCCTTAGGACTCACTCTTTCCCTCTAGCGACGTCCTGCTCATCGTCCACTCCCCGTTGAGATAAAGTTGCATTTAGCGCTCCCAGGGGACTGCATAATGGATGGAGCCAGCTCCTTCTCTCACCAGCAAGTGAACATCCTTCTCACTTCCCTCTGGAGCTAGAAGGAAGGGAGGGGGTGGGGGGGAACATGAAAAGAAAGAAAGAAAAAAAAAAAGCCATGGTGACGCCTGTGGGCTCTTCTTGGAATCTGAGTAGGTGAGTGGGTACGCTAAATACACATGCGTTTGTGCAGAGGAAAGATAAAATCCACGGGAACGCAAATTTAGGTTTATAGAAACGAGATCTGCTCTTTGGTGGAAATACAGACCTCCTTGGTGTGAGAGAGACCAAAAAGATTATGTATCTGATCTCGGCTTTCCATAAGCAGCCCCTTGCTGCTCTCCAGCTCTCTTGCTGCAGATGTGATAACATCTGGGCTGTTAGGTTATTGTCACCGCGAGCAAGTGCTCGGTCTCTGGGGACTTTCGCACCTGAACTGTGACTCCCCTGGGAGGCTTTTGATCTGCTGCCACATAGGGGCCATATAACAGGTTGGCTAATTGATTTATTCTTTTTAGGTCTTAATTTCACAATAATGTTTTAACAATTTAAAAACTGGACCAGAGCTTGTACCCGTTCTTTCAAATTGGCTTGATTTAATATTTTTGAATCAAGCTTTCCTATAAGTTAGCTTGATCTGTCTCCTATTGAAAAAATACATATGCGCGCGCGCGCGCGTGTGTGTGTGTGTGTGTGTGTGTGTGTATGCAAGCAGAGATAAGAGGCGAAAAGCCAAAACGATGGAAGGGAAAAGAAAGTTTTCTTTTCAACATCTTATTCCCTTTTCTCTGAAGCAGTTTTCCCGGAGTTTCCAGCATAAAGTGTGTGTGTGTGTGTGTATGTGTGTGTGTGTGTACGCTGAGGGGAGGAAGGATCCCAACTACACCCTGTTAACTATTTTTTCCTTTTGATTACTAGAAGCCTTAGATCACCCGGAGCTCGTTTGAAACGTGGGTTTGTACACAGTTGAAGGAGACAAACAATAAGAGAAATGCACAATTTCATTTCAACAGCTTTTCCCGAGTAGAAAGCACACGCTCCTTGTGGCTCCTAAGTGGCTGTCACTGGCGGTGCCTGACACAGTTATATTCACAACAACAACAAAAAAAGTATGCCGAGGAAATTAAATTATATGGAAATCAATAGCGTCTGACTGCTTCAAACAAATGTCTGTCACCGCGATTATTCTCCAGGAACCTATTTATAAACGTTGAAAGAAACAGGTTCTTGCAGCAAAAGACAGCACCTTCTGCATTTCTGTGTTGTTATTTATACTGTATACAGAGGAATGCTCGGGCATAATTTAACATACAAATGCCCAGCTGTATACATTATATAACAGCTTGTTAGGCATCCCAGAGAGGAGGAGTGCCTAAGTAATGCGCATATATTCAGGGCTTGCGATCAGGGGGAAGAAACAAACAAACAAAAAAACACACAGAGTGGCGTGCGCTCATCTCGTCTTTTTTCTTCTAAAAGGTGTCCACCCTTAGACAATAGCTCGACCTTCTGATCTTTGCAGACCGCGGTGGGAAAGGTGAGGCGGGCAGTGCGCATGCCTGGGTAGCTACAGGTGCATCACCTGCGCTGTCCTTGCTGGTGGTCACTATAAGAGCGGCTCCCACGCGCCGGTAGCGGCCGGACGAGCGCGCGCGCGCGCAGACGCACGGCGCCGCCGAGAAGGAGAGCGCGCGCCAGACAGACGGAGACAGCTGATGCCTGTCAGCGCGGTGGGGCCGCGAGCTCTCGCGAGAGCTCCCCAGGACGGCCGCGAGAAGTGGGGCTCAGGTGTAAGAGGAGTGCATCCCGTCGGCGCGCGGGGCTAGAGCTCTTGGAGAAGCAGGACCGCGAGGCCGGCGCGCGGCGCTCTGCGCGGTCAGAGGGAGAGCCCGGCAGCAGCAGGAGCAGTAGCAGCAGCCTGCGGCGCGGCCACCACCAGCCGCCGCGACCGCCGCGGCTGCAGCCCCGGAAGGGAGGCCGGGTGAGCCCGCGTACGCACTTTCCCGCGGACTTTCGGAGTGTTTGTGGATATACATGCCAAGCCGCCACGATGATGTCCATGAACAGCAAGCAGCCTCACTTTGCCATGCATCCCACCCTCCCTGAGCACAAGTACCCGTCGCTGCACTCCAGCTCCGAGGCCATCCGGCGGGCCTGCCTGCCCACGCCGCCGGTAAGCGCCCCACGCCCGCGGCCCCGGCCCGCGCGCCCGCCCCTCCCCGTCTCCGAGACGCTGCATGTCGGGGGCTGGTGTGTGCAGGTCCCGGTGCGGGGAACTGCAGGCAGGGGGTGTAGAGCAATCCCGCTGCGAGGCACGTTTTGTCCGGCGGCGCTTAATGTCGTGTTCCTGTGTGCCTCTGCCTCCGCGTCGGGCGCCTGCGATCAGAGTGGGGAGCGCTAGGGCCAGGACTCTCGACTTCCCTGCACTTTCTCTGTTAATTTCATGCCTCAGAAAGGCGGTCTCTGTGCGTGCTCGGGTGTGTGACACGGGTCCCCAGCTACGAGTTACATTTCCATTTCTTCTTCTTCTTCTTTTCCCCCTTCTTTTTCGTCTCCCACGCCCGTTCCCGGAATGTGTTCTTGTGTCCCCCTTTCTCCCTACTTCTGTCGCCCTCTCCACGGCTCCTATCCCTTCTCGTCTGTCCCCCTGCCTGGTCGCCAATGTGCCCCCTTCTCCGTCTTTCCCGCACTCCGCTGCCCCCAACCCCGTTGTTACTTTGGTTGCTTTGTGTTTGCCCTTCGCATGCTGTGCTTTCCGGCTTGTGTGTGTGTTTCTTCTGTTGTTTTGTTTTGCTCTTTTGGTTTTGTGGTTTTTTTTTTGGTTTGGTTTGGTTTGGTTTGGTTTGTGTCGCCTGCAGCTGCAGAGCAACCTCTTCGCCAGCCTGGACGAGACGCTGCTGGCGCGGGCCGAGGCGCTGGCGGCCGTGGACATCGCCGTGTCCCAGGGCAAGAGCCATCCTTTCAAGCCGGACGCCACGTACCACACGATGAACAGCGTGCCGTGCACGTCCACTTCCACCGTGCCGCTGGCGCACCACCACCACCACCACCACCACCACCAGGCGCTGGAGCCCGGCGATCTGCTGGACCACATCTCCTCGCCGTCTCTCGCGCTCATGGGCCGGGCGCGGGCGGGCGAGTGGCGCGCGGCGGCGTGGCGCGCCACGACGGCCAGGCGGTGCGCCCGGTGGCGGCGCGCGGTGGGCCCCGGCGCGGCGGCGGCTGCGGCCCGGCGGGGCGCCCGGCGGCGGCTTCCAGGGACGGCTCCGCGCAACCCACACCCGGCATATGGCACGCCGGGCAACCTGTCGCACCTGCGGGCGGGGCCGCCATGCATGCCGTCCGGCTGCCGCACCCGGGCCTGGTGCGCGGCGGCGACACGGCGGCGCGGCGGCGGCGGCCGGGCAGGTGGCGGCGGCGTCGGCGGCTGCGGCCGTGGTGGGCGCGGCGGGCCTGGCGTCCATCTGCGACTCGGACACGGACCCGCGCGAGCTCGAGGCGTTCGCCGAGCGCTTCAAGCAGCGGCGCATCAAGCTGGGCGTGACGCAGGCCGACGTGGGCTCGGCGTTGGCCAACCTCAAGATCCCGGGCGTGGGCTCACTCAGCCAGAGCACCATCTGCAGGTTCGAGTCGCTCACGCTCTCGCACAACAACATGATCGCGCTCAAGCCCATCCTGCAGGCGTGGCTCGAGGAGGCCGAGGGCGCCCAGCGCGAGAAAATGAACAAGCCCGAGCTCTTCAACGGCGGAGAGAAGAAGCGCAAGCGGACTTCCATCGCCGCGCCTGAGAAGCGCTCCCTCGAGGCCTACTTCGCCGTGCAGCCCCGGCCCTCGTCCGAGAAGATCGCCGCCATCGCCGAGAAACTGGACCTCAAAAAGAATGTGGTGCGGGTGTGGTTTTGCAACCAGAGACAGAAGCAGAAGCGGATGAAATTCTCTGCCACTTACTGAGTGGGCTGGGAGGTGTCGGGCGGGACAGAGTGGGGAGCTGAGGAGGCATTTTTGGGGGGCTTTCCTCTGCTTGCCTCCCCTCGGATTTGGAGTGTCCGTTATCCTGCCTGCGTTTGGGGAGTCCCTCCTCGCTCTCTTTCCTCCACCCTCTCTCTGATTTTCCTGCCTTTGCTGTCCCCCAGCCTTGAGGACTGGGGTGCTGGCTGTGGGGACTGGAGTATAGGGTAGGGGAGAAGGGGGAGAGCATTAGGATGAGTGGGGAGTGGGGGGAAGGAAAGAGGAGACCCGAGCAGGGGTTTTAAGGAGCAGGATGGTTCTGGGGTTTGGGTGGGGGGAGACGCGGGAAGGATAGGAAAATGGACTGTTTTTGACCAGAGACTCTTACCTAAATCTCCTGGGGACCAAGGAACTATGTACAAAAACAAACCCACCAACCACCAAAAACTAGACAAATAAAGACAAACTAAAACAACACAGAACAAAAGCAAAGGAAAATGCTTTAGAAATTTTAACTCCGGGGAGCCATAATCTGCAGCTTCATTTCCCCCCATGGAAGAGAAAAAAGAGCACCACCATTATTACCACCTCCCCAACCCTACACACACGAACTGAGTCAAAAACGAAAACCAAATGAGCCGGAAGTTGAAGTTCTGGGTATCAAAGCTAGTTGTTCTGTCTGCGTGTTTAATTTTTCCCTCCAAATCTCACCTCCACCCCATCCATATCCTCTTTATTTCCTCCGTTCCAATGAGAAGCCAATGGCTGCTCTCCAATCCCGGGAAGTGAGTGGGAGCACAGCTGAAAAGACAGGGTCAGGGGGAGCCTGGCTGCTTGCTTAGGTGGAATCCAGGTTTTCCCCTGGCCCTGCCTACACTCTGGTGGCCTGGTCCTGGTGGGGTGGGGGTCTTTGGAGATCGGGGCATAGTCTTTGAGCTAACTAAAAAGTAGAATTCCGGGACTTCGAAATATCTTATTCTAGGAAAATGAAACAATTTTAACAACAGTTTTGTGTGTGTGGTGTTTGAGCACGGGGGTCTCGCTCTGTTGCCCAGGCTGGAGTGCAGTGGCCGGATCTCAGCTCACTGCAAGCTCCGATTTTTTTTTCTCTTATGTCGAAGATACAGTTTTAGACAATTTCAAAATAAGCTTTTTTTCCCACTCATAGAAGTTTTACCCTTTCAGTTTCATTTTTTATTTTTTAGAGAGGTTTAAACTAGTGATTTTTTTTTTTTTCCTGTTGATTCAAATAGACTGATGGGGTGAAAGTTATTAGGAGAGATACTCTCTCATCTTGCTCTTCTAGGTCCCCTTTCTTCTTCTCTTGGAGAACATGAAATTATAGAAATGTTGAGAAGTTCCTGCTTTCTGTTGGAGCAGGACTTGGCTGTGAGAAAATCACCTAAATCCCAGAAAAGAAGACAGATTTAAAGTGCCCCCACCCCCATTTGTTTCAAAGAGGTCTGCATGTTGGGGGAAAACAGAACAACTGTGTTTCCTTTTACTTGTTCTTATTATTCAAGAGTCATTTATTACTGGGGATAAATGTTGGGTAGCAAGAACTTTAATTTGCACTACCAGTCTCCCAAATAGAAAATCATGTATAGTATTTCATAGTAATAATCAGGTACCTTACAAGCTGCTGGTGGATTTTAAAAAATAAGATTGTTGAAGGTGGTGAGGTAAAATGCCTGCTTTGTGTACAACATACTCTTTGGATCTCTTGTGGAGATGGTTTGTTACCATCCTTTAATCATAACTAAAACATTGAAAACAGAACAAATGAGAAAAGAAAAAACCTGCCGATTAACAAGACTGAAATCATGCATGATCTGAAAGGTGTGGAAAGAAACACAATTAGGTCTCACTCTGGTTAGGCATTATTTATTTAATTATGTTGTATATCATTGTTTGCAGGGCAAACATTCTATGCATTTGAAACTGAGCACTAAACTGGGCTAGCTTTCTGGTAGACCGTTTTGTGGATAGTGTGATTTCACAGTCTACTGCCTGTTTCCACTGAAAACACAACATTTTTGTCATATTCTTGTATTCAAAGGAAAAGGAAAAAAAGAAGATTATTGTAAATATTTTATTTAATGCACACACTCACACAGTGGTTACAAACTGCCAGTGTTCATCCTGAAATGTCTCACGGATTGATCTACCTGTCCATGTATGTCTGCTGAGCTTTCTCCTTGGTTATGTCTTTTCTCTTTTACCTTTCCCCTCCCTTACTTCTATCAGAACCAATTCTGTGCCCCAAAATACAACAGGGGGATGTGTCCCAGTACACTTACAAATAAAACATAACTGAAAGAAGAGCAGTTTTATGATTTGGGTGCATTTTTGTGTTTATACTGGGCCAGGTCCTGGTAGAACCTTTCAACAAATGAGACAATATAGCCAAAAGAACCCCAACCAACCAACCAAACAAACAAAAAAAAAAACAAAGAAATGGGGGGAGGGGAGGGTGTTGAAGGGGGATGAAAAGAGGGGAAAGATTGAGAATGTATTTTTTTGCTGAATCAGAATTCGCTTTCAGATAACTCATGAAAAGTGGTGCTCTAAATAAAATGAATTCTATATTAGTTGCCTGTGTTTATAAAAGTTATTATTTTTTAACTGCAGAGACTCTTAAACCACAGCACTTGATCCAGAGTGGTGAAAACCAATAAATAACCAGGCACCCAAAAAACATTTAAATTTAGGGTCAGGGACAGAGGCATTTGGAGGTTTAGATGTGATATTCTTGCCTAAAAACACCTAGTAACTAAATGGCTTTTCTTTGGAGGTTAATACATTTTAAAACATTTAGTGTGCCACTTACTGCTCCAGAGTGACCAGAGAGTCTCTATTTCTTGGTAACTTGGGACTAGATCAGATGCCAGATGTACCAAGTTTCTTAAGAGCTGGGATTATATCAGCTGAAGTCATTTTAGCCAAATCTTTTTAATATCACCGGCAAATCTGTGAAGCAAAACACTTGATGTTCAAAAAGAATAGTACATTTTAAAAGCTGTGATTTTAAACAGTTGTTTAAAAAAAAAAAAAAGCACTAGAGGTATTTTTAAAAATAGAACTCTTCCATAAAAACTTGAGTTGTTTTTGTTGTTATTGACTTGAAATATCATCAGTTTTAAATAAAATGTATTTGTAAAAAAAATTGTTATTCTATAGAAAAGTATGACTGGATTTCATTGTTGGAAAACCAGGACTGAACAAATGAAAAGATTTACAAAAGGTAGTGTTTTTTGTTTGTTTGTTTGTTTGTTTTTTTAAGTCTGCCTCAAGCAGAAATGTTGCAGGCAAATACATGTGTATTACATAATAATGACCAATGTAGGTATTAAGAATTTAAGGATTTGCTTTAAATAAACCCTTACCAAGTAAAAATAAGAGTATTATGTTAATAAAACATCATGAAAATGAATTTCCTATTTTATGTAGTAGGAAACTGCAAAACAAAATGCTTTGCTTTCTGGTGAGCGAATCTATATATGGCTTGAAGGAGTAATAAGACTATTTTCTAAGATGCCTTTAACTGTCAATCCATAAAAAAACAAACAAAAAGTGACCTCCTGAGGAGGCCAAACTATCATTGAAGTGGTGGGTGTCAATCAGTGATAGTTTGGCCTTTCAGAGTTTTCTAGTTCTGAAGAGAAGTTCACTCTAAGCGGATTCCTCCACCAATTTTGGGGTGAATATGATTAAATGTGTGTCTCGGATTCTTTTAAAGAATAATCTCAAAATAAGTTTGAGAGAGTGGGAAAATTGGGCTCCGTTTGCATTTCAGCTTCTCAGGAAATCCAGGCGGCGGCGGCGGTGGAATAGGAAAAGCAAAAGACAAATAAGCATTAAATCATCTGCCACATTTATGCCATCCATTAGTCTTAAATTTCTTCTTTTCCCCATTTCTAGCTCCAGGTCCTGTTCCTTCTGTAGGTCTAAAAAAATGATGTCCTCAAGACCCATCAACTAACTTCTGAATAATTTTTGTTTAATGCGTGTTCTGAAATTGCTCTCAACTTCTATTACACTTTCATAAATAAACTGTAGGCACCCACTGCCATGATTGTATCGATTTTTGTTTTCTTGTGATAATGAGACTACTTCGGTTGGGTTCCTACACGTGGCCGGGCACGTGAGAGAATAGGGCGCCCCAAGCCCGTAGGACTCACTGAGCGAGCCCTGCCCTCTGCCCCTGCCCCGCCGCCCCTGCCTCTCCTGATCCCACCTGGCATCTGCATGAAGCATCCCTACTCATCTTTCACGTTGGTAGGCTTTCGCAGTTTTTCGTCTGTGAAGTTGGAACTGGGGCTTCTGATCCTGGCTAAAACTAGCGTTTCCCACCCCATTCGAACGGCCTTGGTGGGATGATAAAGGTGATGACAATTAATACTGGTACAGTTCTGCCATCGGTGTTATTGCCATCTCAGTCTTAGCGCCACGATGACAGCCACGCGGTCCTTTCGAGCTGTTTCAAAAAAGACCACAAGCTTAATTGATTTTTTAAAATAGCAGCCGAATTCTAATTCTCACAAGGTCCTCTTTTCCACTTGCGAGATAAGCCGTGTCGCAAACATTACGTTATTTAATGTTTGATCAAACCATCGTGCCACCGCGGCTTCTGGCACGGGGCTGGCTCACAGGGCACCGGGTGAGCGGAGCGGCCAGAGCCAGCCCGGCGCGTGTGGGGAAGGCGGGCGGCTGCCCCACTCGGGTTGGCTTACCCTTTGAATAATTTATGGCCGGAGAGTTCTGGAAATTAATAAAATGAATGATAACAAGAAGCTAATTAAAAACTTTCATAATTGTTGTCAAGTCAGCTTTATGGGAAGACGGGCAGCCCCCCGATTCCCTCCCCGAAATCCGGTGGATCTGCAGGGCGGGGCGCGGATCGGAGGCTGTAAACTTCAGCGGCCCAGCACTGTTCGGACTCCGAGAGTTATTTTGGAGGCTGCCTCATGGGGCAGCTCCCTCTCCAGCTGCACTCCGCCGCTTGCAGGTCTCCCGGGCATAACTTTCAGACTTTGGGGCGGGTGGGTCGGCGTGTGCAGTTTCAAACCACAGGCAGAGCTGATTGGGTTGAATTTGAAGCCAGGAGGGGACCCGTCCTCCCCTCACTCACGCAGGGTTCTTGTTCACCCACCCACCCAACCCTGGCGTCCCAGCGCCTTCAAGGGCACCAGCCGCGGTTCTCCGGGCGGCTGCGAAGGGACCACCGCGCTTCCTGCCTGCACCCCTCAGCCGCCTGCCTGGAGAAGCAGCAGCCCACAGGCTTCCCGCTGCCCGAGGTGGCAGCTCCGCTCGGACTGCAGGACAGCCACCGGCCTGCTGGCCCTGGGGTGGATTCGGCTGGGCCGGGGAGAACCGGAGAAGGTTAACTGCCCTAGGCCGGGGCATCCGGCGCGCGTGCGCAGAGCGGCCAGCGGGGAGTGGTGCGCACCGCGGGGAGCCGGGAAGGAAGAAGCGCGCACCGAGCGCGCGGAGAGCGCGCAGAGCCCGCACATGCGTGTTGGCGCGCGCCTGGTCCCCTCAGAGAGGTGGGCAGAAGTTCCGCGGCTCAAAATTAGGCGCTCCCGGAGGTCCCCTCCAACTCTTACGTGCCCTTGAGGACGTTCTGAGAGAGAAAGGATGGACCAGTATCTCAAAGCGGTTAAAAGAACCCTCTCCCCAGTTGCGTAAGTCAACAGTCTCCTTAAGCACCACAAAACTTTCACAACTGCCGTACACCTTTTGAAAAGAATTGGGAGGCATACGAGCTTGGGTTTTGTTTTGTTGCTAAGGTGCATGTTACCAAAACCCTGCTACAGATTTGAATTTATCCGGCAAGGATTTATGCCCGGGGCGAAATGCAGCCTGGCCGCTAGGCTTTCGTCCCGGGGAATTCAGTGGGATCCTGAATCGCAAAGCTGAATTTGAAAATCTCGGTTCGGTGAGTAACCGATATAGCCCTAGTGTTGAGACCAGCATCCCGCTCCCGCGAACCTACGG